CTCGCAAAATATTCGACTCCACTTCGCTTTTGAACCGTGCGTCACAATTGCACACAGCATCACGAGTTGCAATGCTTTCTCCGTCTCATTTTTCGCAGAGTTGTCCGTGGACAGAGTTTAGCGCCAACGAGCCAAGTCTGTGGGTCACGCTCATAACAGCAAGTACCTATTTGTATTTGGACCGCGTTTAGCAGAAAGGAACAGAGCCGCACCAGCTCTTGAAAAATTTAACCGAGCGATTTCATTTTTTACGAGAGATAGTCTGAGCGGCCTTTTTCGAAAATTCTAATGAAGTCGTGCAGAAAATTTACCGAAATCGGCACAAAAATCCGCTTATTCGTTGTTTTGTAAAACATCAAATTGGCAATACCTAGCTGATGTGACTTGGTTCCTTTCTGCTTAACGCAGTCCATTTGTAAATCGATGGTGACCTCATAATGTTACAACTCGGAATTCTGAGTATTGGGTTAAAAACTCCTTTATACTGATCGAAGTAGGTTTTATTTACTATTCTGAACTCGCTTTAAAGTCGCCTTTTAAATCGAATCGGCGTATGAGAAAACGTCCGATGTCGAACACAGTGTTTCAGAATTGAATTGGAAAATTTCTTTGCAGCTTAAAGACACAAGATGGTTTTAAGACGTTTGGAATGTAGAACAATTTTATAAAGAATCCCCTAAGTATAATTAAACGGCTACCAAAAAGATCGATCACTGGAAAGAAAAAACACATTGGATCTAGAGTCCAGACTCTTAAAACATCGACAAGAAAAAGTACTCTTGATTCAATCAGAATCTAGCACAAATCAGGAACCAAGCCTCTTGATTTAAGCAGAAAATGTTTTGATTCAAGCAAAAATCCGATTGAATCAAGAGTATTTTTTCTTGTCAATGTTTTCAAGAGTCTGGACTCTAGGTCCAATGTGTTTTTTTTTTCTTTCTTTTTTCTTTTTTTTTTTTTTTCCAGTGCTCTTATTCATCAGTGTCATGGGGCAAAGGAAACCACTGCAATTATGGAACGCTGTATTGGACGACTGACGTTTTCGAATACTCGATTCATCTAGCCCATTAAGCTCAATTTTTAAGGTTAAGAGTCATCAAAAATTTTTAGGAGCCAAATAAAATTGCTGCATACTTGATTATGTATCACATCACATTTATCGTTGGCGTACCGGGGGAAATACTTGTTGCGCTCAGGAAGTAACTCATTATGCGGGATACCGAAGTAGGAAAAGGAGAGAAAGACTCGTATTCGGCTTGGTCGATTCGGATAGCACACCCCTGGCTCGACGCAAGACTCGTTCGAATCTTAACGGCATCGCGTGGCATTCAACCCCTTTGCGCCTCGTAACGGCGAGCGGGTAGTTACCACCCTTGGAAGTAGGTTCGGCAGCAGGTGACGAGGCCTCGAAGACGCCCCTCGTGGTCCCTCCGCTCCGGATCCGTGCTTTAACCCCCTCGGCCCCGAGCCTCAACAGATTTTCGATCAGCGTGCATGTCGCGTGGATTCAACAAGTGGTCCTGGCCTACCGAGGCGATGAGGTCGCTATGGCAACCACCACCGCGACGACAGATGCTACTTCTTCCGCTCCTCGCCCCCCCCCCCCCCCCCCCCCNCTGTACACGCTTGATATTCTTCAAATCTCGACGGAGCCCGTGGGTGCTCGACGCTTCGGCCCGGCTCCTCGAGACACTAATAATGAAACGTTGCCGGCTTCATGGTATCCTTATGGAGAGAGTATTAACTCAGTAACTCATTGGATAGGGTGAAGAGTTCTTTTCAAGTCTTGGAAACCTGGAAAAGTCTGGGGATTTTGCCCAACTCCGAGTAGGTAGGCAATTTTGTTGCGGAACCTCGAAATTCTCTCTTTTTACCGCAAAAACACTTTTGGACTTTTACCGCACCCACACCCTCTTAGCATTAAAAATTACCTAGAATGTCTTTCTTAGAATTCTTTTTTTTTTTCAAATCACGGAAAATTAATCCATTTCCCAACTTCAAAGTCGGACTTCATTTTGCATCATAGAACCAATATTTCTGATTAATTTCATAAACAGCAGAAATAATATGGACAGCGTTAAACAGATAGGAACCAAGCCACATCAGCATTTGCCAAATTTAACTGGGCAATTAAATTTTTTCTATGAAATCGATCACGCGGATTTTTGTGCAAATTTCAGCGATTTTTCTACCCAGTACGAAACTGTCTTTAAAGTTTTCCAAATCTGCACAACCGTTCAGTCGTAATAAATTAAATCGCCCACAAATTTGGCAAAAACTTGTGTGGCTTGGTTCCTTTCTTCCAAAGACGGTCCATATTTGCCATTAGTTTCCATCGGCAGGCGGACATGTGCTTTTATGAATTAGCCAAGAACAGCAGTTAATTTTTTTTTATTATTATTATTTAAAAATGAAGTTTAATACTGGTCTCTGTTTCTCCATTACAGTCTGCACATCAAATACCAAACCAATAATAATTTAAAAATAATAATTGGCGCTCACAAAGTCTCAAAGAAGCCGTGCTTTTCGAGCTTGTGTACGAGGAAGCACCACTCGGCGATCTCGATAGGTTCACGGAGACTGGTTTTATGACGCGGCGAGGCGGGCGGCATGACAGATGAGAGAAAGAGATCGTCGGGGCCCGTCTTTATCCATGTGTGTTTTGGGCCAACAGAAAATCACCCTCTCGCATTATCACGAACTCACAGTTGCAGCTGTTTCAGCAAATCCTATCGCGTTCACCCTCCCTCGCCCTCGCCCGACCCCTCGCTCCTCCCCGCTCCCTCCGCGACTACCTGTTTCCTTTGGTGCCTTCGGTGGTATATTTTTTTCTTCCTTATATTCACGCTCATCGCTCAGGTTCCATATTCATATGCACCGTTGCCGAGTCTCTCCCATATTGAAACCGCACTGGAAAAAAAAACACATTGGATCTAGAGTCCAGACACTTCAAAACATCGACACGAAAAAATACTCTTGATTCAATCAGATGTAAGCTTAAATCAAGAACCAAGCCTCTTAATTTGAGCGGATCTCCTTTTGATTTAAGCTTAAATATGATTGAATCAAGAGTCCGTTTTCTTGTCAATGTTTTCAAGAGTCTGGACTCCAGATCCAACGTGCTAGATTTTTTTCCAGTGCGGAGCTAGTTCTGTAAGGCCCCTCTCCACGAATGAGCCGGAGGTTTTAAACGCATCGATTATTCCAACTTCTATTCAAGGTTTCCCGAGTCAGGAAAAACAGGTGAAACAGGAAAATAACCGCATAATTTAAAAAGGAAAGTCAAGAAAATCTCACTAGGTAATTTCAGGGAAAATCATCTAAGAGTTGGGGGGAAATGGTTTACTAATGTTTAATTAAGGGGCTTGGAGGACAAGGCGCACAAGTGCAGTTTTTGACAAAGTTGAGATGAAATGATTTCAAGTGAAACTTGTCTCAATGCATATTCTGCGATAAATTCGCTCCCGAATTTCAATTTTTAAGCATCAATGTATCAGTTTGAACTTTCTTTTCGCCGTAAGGATCTACGTAGTTTCGAAACTTCAAGCATGTATTTTTCGAAATAGCAACAACTGCACTTTTGCGCCTTGTTCTTCAAGTGCCAAATTCTGTCGAATCCTTCTTGCTTTGAATGCATCACGCAATTTATATACCGAGTCAGTTGGAAATTATTTTACGTCAAAAACGCATGGCTCTTCCCTCTCCCCTACCGAAAGTGACCTTAATAAGGCCGGGAGTTGATCCGAAAAGTCACGAATTACTTTTGGCAGACCGCCGGACTAACCTCTCATTTAGCGGAGACAGAAGTATTCCATTTAGTCGCCCGCCAGTTACTGTAATCATCCATCTGCAGATCAAGGGAGCCGTACCGCTGAAGATGAAGGCAACAGATTTAGGTCAGATGATACCAGAAATCAGCGCACGTCCGGAAAATATAATGAGTGACTTTAAATCGCGGTAGCTGAGTAAGTGAAGATCGTCTGCCTTTGTAATAAGAGAAGTGAAAGTTTCAGCGGCCGTGCGTTTGTGTTTGGTTTAAGCAGTGCAGAGGTGCCATGAAATGGGTACCTCGGTATGGTAAATTCTTGGTTCGTGGAAACATCGAAGTTAGCCCGAAGGACCCAGCATTTAAAAGCGTGAATAGGTCCCCTTCTAGCATTAACTGTTCCAAAAACAGTTTTAAAAAGAAGTTGTTAATTTTGAAGGAAAAGCTCTTTAAAATATGTTAACATTTACGAGCTGGGAAATATGTTATGTTCTGTTTTACGTCAGATACCGCTTTGCACTTGAGTTTATTTTTTTATCATTTGATTTAAAGTACGTAGTAAAATTAACAAAATGTGACGTAATATTTTTTATTTTGATTTTGTTTATTTTGCAGTTTATTTTATGTTTAGCATCAGATACGCACAAAAAATCAACTTAATAAAATGTTGATGCCGATTTATTTTCATGTCTTTTGTACATACCTACAGTTTACTTTAAGGAAGAATAAAGATGGTTCTTAATTTGTTCGCTTCAAGATCTTTATTTTACTTATTTTTTAAGATTCAAATTCAATAGGCAGTGCCACTACCTAGGGTCGTTTTTTGGATCTAAAACCCCAGGTTTACCCCTCCCCCAATCCTGTCTCAAGTTGTGTCCATGGGAATCATAAAATATGTTTTATCCAATCCTTTGAATTAATTTAAATAGAAAATAGTTCAAATGTTTAGAAGTCGAGTACTAAAAATGAATTTCGATGAAGGTGTTAAAGCTGAATTGAGTTGATAATTCTAAATTAAAAAAATATTTAAATCCATCGTATTTTCGGAAGGGAGCGCAAAATTTTCGCCACGGGAACTCGCTTCTTCCTGAAATTAATGATTATATTGGTTTTTTCTGTTAGCATTATATCTATTCTCTCGGCTGTTGTATTTTTTAAATGTTTTGAAGTTGCTATACTTTCTTATTTTGTACAAATATCAATGATATTGTTCTCTTTTTTCTGTGTGTCCCAGGTTTCGTGTCATGCTCCCCAAATCCTTGCAAAAAAGGAGGGACATGCGTCTCAACACCAAGAGGCGAATCCTACTGCAAGTGAGTACCCTTCAATTCATTTTCATTAGTATGGATTTGTATTATCGACGGTGAAACTGCAAAACTGCGAATCTCGGTTGCGGTATTTCGAAATCTCCACTACTATTTTATTTTTTAAAAGAAGACCGAACCAACATGATATCTTGAAGTCTTCTTAGGATATTCTTTCAGGGTGTCTAGAATCAGGAATTTCACGATTTTCTGATCCTATCTGGATTTGAGGTCAATTAGGATATAATCCCGATTTCATCAGGAGTGAGGAAAAATCGGTCGTAAAATCAGGATCTGAGAAAAACACTTGTTTTTAATCCTTAGAACTTAATTCTAGAGTTCTGCTTTTGCATACTTGCGCTAATGCAAAAAAATTTAATTTTTCTCCGCAAAAAATCAGGATTTGGAAAAACTATGAAATCAGGATTTAATCAGGATTTCTCAACATGAAAAAAAAACAAAAAAACTAGACACTCTGTTTATGAAGGTACGAAAAATCGCAAAAACGTGTGTAGTAATACTGTAGTTTTCCAGTAATTTTCCATGTGGAAAATAAAGAATGAAAGGAAGTGTGCAACGCCACAAACCAAGCTACGCATTTCTGCATTTACACCATCATTTGTAATACGTCCGGACAGCGCAATGTAAACAAGCTTCTTTGAGCATTAAGACCTCGAAACTGAGAAAATGTATGCGAAATCAAAGTTTCATACGTGCTTTTATAATTTTTGATTAGTCGTGGAACGACGGGTAGCAAGAATCATGAAAATTAGTACCACTGGAAAAGTCGAGTTCATAGGTTGGCGCAGCCCTTCTGGGCCCCAAGAGGTACATGACCTGATCAAACCTAACCTCCAAATTTTCGAGTTGTCCGCACTCTCCCCATAGAGGTACTCCTCTAGCCTTGAGGGGTCTCTAAAATCCATGTCTCAAAGCGACATAAGGCCCAATCAGAAGCATTGGCGGATCCAGCAATTTGGCAACGTTTTTCTTCTCCATTTAAACCTATGGAAATGTATCGATTTTTCAAGGGGCCAGGTGCTCCGACAAGAATCGATTATTTAACATAGGTTTAAATGGAGGGAATCCGATGTTGCCAAATTGCTGGATCCGCCTCTGATCAGAAATGTATCCTGTGGCCATACTCTCTCTGTAAAGGTATTCTGCTCCCGATATGAGCGGAACCTGTTTGAATAGAGACTCCCCCGGATGACGTCATATCTAAGGCAGTCGGTTTTAAGTGGAAGCCGGAAGGAGAGCGGGGAGGGATACCTGCCGATGACCGAGGGCGAAGGGGTTAAAGAGCCGGGAGCCGGAGTCGCGGGGGTCACAGGAGCCGCGGCCGCGGCGGCCGAAGATGAAAAATGAAAGAAGCGAGGAAAAAATCAGGGCCGAGCGTCCAGCGGCCGTCGTCGAGCCGAACCTCAAACACACGCGTTCCTTTTCGGGAAGGCAGCCCGCGGTAAAAGAAAAGTAGAGGAGGAAAAAAAACCGGGAGGAAAGGCAAGAGGAAAAAAGACAGCGAGCGAGGAATGCCGAATGGCTAATGAATCGGGCGAGGTGGAGAGCGAGTCTGTGACATCATCGGGGCCCGCGTGGTGGGGGTAAAGAGAGTGCAGCGCGCGAGCCAAGTTCCCACGTCCGAGCGCCGAGCAGCGGACATCTGCCTCGAGAGTCACGCTGTTCCATTGTGAACCGGCACAACACCCCTCCCCGCGCCGCCGCCCCTCGCCGCACCGCACCGCGCCCCTCGCCACCGCGCTCTGGAGGCGCAGCGAGCAGGCAGGCAGGCAGGCGAGAGACCATCCGAAGCCGAGGCGAAACCTGGCCTACCGATCGGAGTCGAGCCCACCGCGGCCGCTGCACCGCGGCTTCGGATGCTTCTACACATGTTCGGTCCCATCGGCCCCCGAGAGAGGGTGAAAAGCACTTGGCTCCGGGGCCGCCACCGCCGCCCGCCGCCCCGCCCGCCCCGAAAAACGATTTGCATTCGCCCGGCCCAAGGCCGCCGGGTGGACCCCCGCCCACCGCACAGTGCGGTTACGCCTCGTGGTTGAGAATTAAATACACGCATTTTCGCGGAAGAATTTGCTGTGAACTGAGAGATTTTAGGGATCTAAGTATACGGGGAAGTCGGTCTGGTCTTCGGGGCTGCCCTTGTTTACCGGAAGAAATACGAGGATTTCTCGATGAAACCGTGTGTTTTACCTCAGTCGGACAGAGTTCGGAGGATGTGTTGGCGATCGCAAGGAAGAGGAACAGAAGGAGATGGATAGAGAAAAGAAGAAGAGGAGGAGAAAAAGTGTAAGGGAAGAAGCAAAAGAAGAAGAAGGGATGGAGGATTGAGGAGGCAGAAGGAAATTATGGGAAAAGTTGAAAAAAATGAAGATGACTAAGAAAGGTGGAAAAGAGGCGAAAAGAAAGAATTACCACGTCTTCGTCTTCTTTTCCCTCTTTTCTGCTTCCGTATTCCTCTTCATCTTGTTCTTGTTCTTGTTCTTGTTCTTGTTCTTCTTCTTGTTCTTCTTCTTGTTCTTCTTGTTCTTCTTCTTCTTCTTCTTGTTCTTGTTCTTCTTCTTCTTCTTCTTCTTCTTCTTCTTCTTCTTCTTTTACTACTGCTTTCTCCTCCACCATTTCTTCTCTTAATCATCTTCCTCAAAGCATCACCTTCGGATACTTTCAGCATCCTAGGATTTGCGAAGAAGATTTTTTGCGAATTATAAGCTGAAACGATATTCAAGACGTAGTGGAATGATACTGGCTGCGTTGCAGGTTGTTTTCCAAAAATGCATACTAAAACCAGAATAAAAGCGAACTATGTCGGATCCGTCGGTTTACACTTACGCCTGCCTAGAACTTACCCTACGCAGTAAAGGGTTGAGTATGAGGGTCCCGGGCGGAACGCACTGTGCGGCGCGGGAATACTTGTGCAAAGCAACAAATCGTCGCCTACCTGACATAAGGGCGTAACTACAATCTGCGATGAACCCTGGGCTCCATACAATTCAATGCTTTTCCAGGCTCATCTCAATGTGTAGTTACGCCTTTATGTCAGCCAAGCGACGAAATGTCGAGGATGGCGCTCCTCGGCCTCGCAACCCGTCCACCCATGGCGACCTCCCCCCTCCGTCCCTGTCCGGGTCCCCGGGCGCGGATTTATATTTTCTATTTTTTTTTATCCGTTGCACGCTCTGCTCTGGGTCCCGGGCTGGGGGCTCGGCGGCGAGGCAAGTGTTTTCGTAAACAATAGTCCAATTTAGCGGGCAATAGCGGCGAGGGGCTTAATTGTGCGCGTGGATGGGATCGCGCGTCACGCGAGGGCTCCTCACGCTCGGCGGCTCCTCCTCCGTTGGGAATGCGCACTTCGCAACTCCCGACGCCGAAGAAAGTGCACGCCCGGGCGTAGAGAGATCCCATCCAGCGGCGGCCGGCATGGCGGGTTCGGCCCCAGTCCAGATGATATCGAAGGGTGCCATTGGATCGGAGACGAATTGGACATATGGAGGAATTATATGGAGTCCCTTCATTCCCAGAATAGCACCATGTGGAATGTAATGTCTGATTTGCTCCTGTTTTAAGCAGTGCTCCGGAACTAGTTCCGAATTTTTTATATTTTCCTATTTTCCCGGAACTTCTGAAATTCCCGAAAGGTTCCGGAACTTTTGAGAAAATCTGAAACGAATCCCGAAACTTTCGACGGTCGTGGAATGGGAGAAATCGAAACAAAAAAGTTCCGAATCCCGGATTTTTTGACGGTCATGGAGTGGGAGCACTGGTTTTAAGGCTTCGTGGATGCCTGCATTCTACACATCACTATTAGTACAGATAGAGCCATCCAGGGGTGCAAAAATTTCTCGACCGCAGCGAGTGGAAATGGGAAGGCCCCGAGAACAGTGTTTTGAAATGGGAGAGCCGTCAAAATTGCGTATTTTTGCTTCAGCAAATCGGTTTTGAGGCCGCAGTGAGATTCCCCGAAATCATATTTCCACTAATTTTTCTTCATAAATAATTAGTAAGCAGTTCTATCGGTCCAAATATCAAGAACTACAATGTTGCTTCGTTATCACTGTATTGCCAAGCTTACATATGTCATTTCTACAAAGAATAGTGGGCTTATTTTTCCTATCTTTCCTCAATCATCATCAAGCGTAAAATAATGACGATCCCCGAAACCTCATCGGATACTTACGGAGGCTTCTGGTGCGACGTCTCATAAATATCCAGTTTCCGGATGGAAGACCTCTTTAGTTCCTCGTTAAGGTGTTACGCTTCACTTATCGTATTCTGATCTCTCTTCAGATTGGAAGATGACCTTTTCGCTCCCGCTTATTAAAATCTGATTTTTATGACTTTTAACTGCATCTGCTTCTCCATTTTTTCGGAGAAGAAAGCATAGATTCCCAAGGGAAAACGTTCATTTTTAAGGTCATTTTTAAGGAGTTTAAAATGTTTGGACATTATTCAGAATTCATGTTGATCAACAAGTAGGGGCGTCTCACTTCTGATAGGCAACACTCATCTGACACATCCGTGTCCCATTTTGATAGTGGAATCAGAACTGCGGGCTGATAATTGACATTGATAGACAAAGCGATAGACGAAGAAGATATAGGGAGCATGAAGCGATCCTATTTGTTGAAACGGGTGGTTCCTAGAGGCTAAGGGGGAAAATGATGGACGAAAGGAAGGGTCTCCTGTCTGTTACCGTTAGTTAGTCTACCCTTTACCTTCATTGTCCATTTCAACTACCCACTTTCACCAACAGGACCGCCCTATTTTCCCTCCGTCTTATATGCCTAACGTTTTGTCTATCAGTTTCAATAATCAACCCGCTGGAGGCAATATCTCTGTATCGATGAGTCCGGACGGATTTACAGCTTTCTTTGACGGAACTCCAGTAGCTCCCGTGGACCGGTAGCTGCCCCGCGGTTCCCTCACCGTCGGCGGCGGCGCGGTCGGTAGACGGAGCATGACCGCACTCCCGATGAAANGGGGGGGGGGGGGGTCGT